TCATTTTAAAATTTTTATTACAGTGTGCATACTGACGCATATCTGCCAAGTCCATTTGCCACAAGTCATCAAGTCCCTTGATAATCGTACGTCTGAGTGCATAGTTTTTTCTCATAGACTTATGTAATTCGTTAACAAGTTGAATCTTTTCCTTTGAATGCGTCTTCATGTCTCTACAAATCGATTAGCACTAAGAGAGTCTGCGTCAATTATGGGTTATTTAAGGAGGATCCTTGATGTGACGCGACGATAAGTTTCCCATGTGAAAGGGTCATCTGGTTCTCCACTATATGTATACGTTCTTCCAGAACCTTATATCTCTTCTCGATATTTTTTAATTCATTCATAATGTGATCTTTATGTTTGGTAAGTTCAGCTCGGACGTCTTTTTCCGATTTTGTAACATCTTTTTGTAATTTTATAACGGCAGTGCTAGACAGTCCTCTATTGTGTACAAATTTTTTCTCCACGTTGTTGACTTCATTTTTGAAAGAATTACTTAGCAAATTTAATTTATCTTCAAATACTTTAATTATTTCTTTGCGTAGTTTCAGCACCTCATCATTAACGTTTTTTGATAATGTTCTTTTATTATCGACATCATTATCTTCAAAAGGTGAACTCACATTACATATTCTCACATTACCAATATCAATATTTCCATCGGTAGTAAACGAAAATCCAATTGCACTAGGTATATGAGGCTCGTTGAAATCACGATGACGATGAGAACTACGTCCGAATTTATCGAGACTCATCGTGTAGAATGATGAAAAAATCGTTTGGTAAGCAACTTTATAGTATTTGATCTAAGGATGATATGTGTGACGTAAAACGTGACGTTAACGTGACGACGTGACGTAAAACGTGACGACGTGACATAAAACGTGACGATGTGACGTAAACGTGACAACGTGATGTAAAACGTGACGACGTGACATAAAACGTGACGATGTGACGTAAACGTGATGTAAACGTGACGTAAACGTGACGTAAAACGTGACGTAAACGTGACGTAAAACGTGACGTAAACGTGATGTAAAACGTGACGTAAACGTGATGACTTAAGATATTATTCGAGCCTCCTTCAGTTCCTCAATAATTGCTGTAATTTCGTTGTCGTGTGACGTATTTCCAGCATTCTTCGATGCTACCAGCAACCTTAGACGATCGACAAGTTCGTTGGGATCATCCCAGTAAATATATTCCATCGTGTATTGTAAGTTAACTTGTTGGTGCGAGATAATAAACCTCTACCACTAGTTTTACGTTGTGTCGGCTTAATAAATAGCGGTCTAATAACTTCTCTATACTTGAGCGAACTGGAGCCTTTTAAGCGCCCTACTGCGTCTTTGTGAGCGTCAGTCATTTGAAGAATATTTTTATAAGATTTCTTATCCTCTTCATTGAAAGATGGATCATGATAGAAAATTAATTGGTACAATCCCGGTGTTCCCTTAAATTGCTGTCGATCGATTACTATATTACCGGTACGAATGTCAAAATCGATGCGTTTTCGACCTAATAGCCAAGATGACGTTGAGGAATCGTATACTGGCCCATAATTCTTATCAATCACATCGCTATCAGCCCAATGCTCTGTAACGTACTTTTGAGATATGACAGGATACTGATCTAAATATTTTTCTAGAATTTCTTGAGTTAAATCTTCCAATCGAGTGTCTTGCTCCTCTTCAAATGTTCTATCCGCATCATCATCAAATCTAGATGACGACGCATTGTCTTCCAATGGTAAAAAGGCTGTTTGGTTGAATGTAGATGGTTTTTCTTCTTCTTCTTCCACCTTTTCTTTTTCCCCTCTTTTTTAATGATGGGAAATTTGACAATTTTTTCGTTCAACTTGTGTGATGTATTTGCTATTTCTTTTAACGGTGTAGAAATTGGTTTAAAGAGTTTTTGCAGCGCCTCATCTTCCTCCGTTTTACCTAGCTTTAAAGCTAAGTACTTTCGTTTGATTGATTTTGCGAGCTCATTGATTTTTTTCTTTCGCGCCGTCTTGGTGATGACGTCTTGAGCCGTTGGATTCATTGCGATTAATGATACAGTTGAATACAGTTACATCCTTATACATTTATCGAATCCTTTACGATATCGACCGTCTTGTAGGTTGAAATCCTTTACAATAACCATGGTTCTATATTTATCACTCCAACATTCCGAGCAACAGTTCTTAAATTGATCAAAAGTCATGTCGGGCGACACGTGTTCATCATAAACATGTTTAAGATTTATTTCATCTTGTTTGAAAAGAACTATTAAGTTGCAATTATCTCGAATAAGTTGCTTCGGTACCTTGGAATATGTCTGGCATAGGTACGCCGCGTCGATATTCTTGTGCCTACACATGGAGTAATATTCACGTATCTTTTCTTATTTATCACACGCCACATCGTCGAATATGAATATGGAATTACATCGAGCATCTGTTGGACTAATAATTTCATCACTATGGGAAGTATCCAATTTCCTTCACTTTACTCAGCACGTCTCGCAACAGCTGATATTTAGGTTGATATAGGGACTTTGAGTAGACGTATACGTTTTCAAATTTGGCGCCATTCGGATGAAATAGAAGCGACAATATTACGTTGGTCTTCCCGCAACCGCTAGGCCCGCATACGACACATCTAAATGAATTTGGTAACAACGAACCATGCCTGCATACAATAGCAGGATTTTCGTTTAAATCGTCCAAGTTTTCTATTGGTAGCGTCCGCTCTTGTTGAACTACCTTCATGGTTTGAAGCCGTTCATCAAGCTACTTTCTATAAATACAGGTACCGCTATCGGCTTACATCAGTTCTAATGCCGCTGCGATACGGTGAAGGTGTGTTAAATTCACTAATAGATAAACTGCCATTTGAATTACATATTCCAGGTGGATATCAATTCTGCGGACCAGGTAATTATATATAGTACAAAGCAATAAAAATTTAATTACGTTTTTCCCTTCATTAGGAACAAAACTTAAGAAACGCTTAGCCAAAGGTAAAAAGGGCATTAATCCTTTGGATTCTGCTTGCCGTGACCACGATATAGCGTACGCTCAAAATAAGTCCGTAGAAGATAGACATAAAGCCGATTGGGTGTTGGAGAATAGAGCTTGGGAACGCGTTAAATCTAAAGACGCAAAACTAGGAAAAAAAGCAGCTTCTTGGTTCATAACTACAGCCATGAAGACGAAACGCAATCTCGGAATGGGTTTGAAAAATAGTGGACGACGACGACGTCAACCTGCATCGTTCCGCAGAGACGTTGTTTCAAAAATCGCAAACAGTTTAAAAAAACAGCAACCTAGTAGTTCGTTGAGAAAAACTGCTCTGATGGCTTCAAAAGTAGCACGAGTAGCAGTTAAAAGGGTCGGTGGTAAGAAAAACATTCGCATACCAAGAATCATATCGCTCCCCGCAGAAGAACACTCTGGATGCTTCCTACCTCTTCTAATGCCTATACTAGGTGCCCTCGGAGCCCTCGGATCGCTAGCGGGGGTCGCGGGAGCTGTAGCGAAAACAGTAATCGATGCTAAAAATGCAGCGAAAATACTTATGGAGGAGCGCCGATACAACGAAGCCATGGAAGCTATCGGAGCCAAAGGATCCGGTCTGTATTTGAGAAAGAATCGCCACGGAGGCTACGGTTTATTCTTGAAAAAGTAAAAAAAACTGCCAATAAAGCTACCCAATAAGCCGCTGTCGGACGGGGACCTGATTAGATACGTCAAACGGCTACGAATTCCATTCTTTCGAGGCGTTTTCATGCGAGACACCTTACCATCTGCAGGTCCGCGGCTGCGAGAAAGTGCCATTTTAAATTTAGACTTAAATAAGAACAAAGGTACTCACTGGGTAGCTTATAAGAAAAACGGCAACGACGTAGAATACTTTGACAGTTTCGGCCATTTGAAGCCACCAAAGGAACTGGTTCGATACTTGGGAGCTAATGCAAACATAACCTATAACGCAGATCGTTATCAAAATTATGATCAAATAAATTGCGGACATCTATGTCTGCAGTTTCTCTATAAAAGCAACGGTACCAGATGAAATTTGTCAGTCATGTCTACAATAGTGGCGCTAAAGAGTCATACGTCCACACTAACACTCAATTTCAACCCAATTATACGTTTGGATCCACAACTCAATTACGGCTTGGCTCTTCTTTGTTTTTACTCGTACAACAGCATACCCAACATCGAAGCCAATCAAAAGTTTTACTTGTATGAGAGCAACGAAAAAAACAAAAACAAAAACAAGAAAGTCGTTATAAAATTTGACGAGGGCTCATACGAGATTCGAGACATTGAAAATCATATAAGAAAGGAATTAAAGATCGACAAAGACCCCAACGCTGATCAGATATTTTCTCTAAAACCTAACAATAACACTCTAAGGTGTGAAATATACAGCGATAAATACGCTGTGGACTTTGAACCCGAAGACAGTTTCGGTAGGACGTTGGGATTTTCAAACAAATTCCTAGAATCCAAGAACCTTCACAAATCGGATTTACCGGTGGATATTATAAAAGTACATACCATCCACCTGGATTGTAACATTACTTCGGGAGCCTTCTACAACGATAGACCGTCACATACTATATACGAGTTTCCTGTAAGGGTCGACCCAGGATTTGCCATCGACGAAGAACCAAATCACCTCATCTATCTACCGATAAATAGAACTGAAATAAGCACGCTTACAATCGACGTGTTGGACCAGAATTTCGAACCCGTTAATTTCAGAGGTGAAGAAATCATCATTCGATTGGAGATTAAGAAACTTGAATAATGCTAGTTTTCAACAACTCTCGACCTGATCATATAAAGGAGCCGCTATCGAGGTACGCGTCAGTATCGCGGTACTCCTCTCACGATAAGGTTGCATTCACTAAGCCTCTGTCTCTAACGAACACCTTGTTCCTAAAATCTCTGGGTTATAATGTCATCGCATCAAACGTTCGATCTTTTTCGCCGTCCCTCAATGGACGAATCCATACAAAAGGTGGAATGGCGAACGTATTATCCATACGTAAAGTCCTTCAGAAACAACGACGTCATTGAAATCATCATCAATCAAGCCGATGTTTTCGATGCTACTTACGACGGTCAGATACTTATCAGCGGGAAGATTACAAAGGTTGGTAATGGAGGCGTATCCTTCGTAAACAACGCAGCAGCCTTTATGTTTTCCTCAGCCACATATGAAATAAACGCTAAGGAACTGAAAAGTATACGTGAAGTTGGTCTAGTGAGCACAGTTCGCGGGTACTTGTCCTATTCCGCCGAGGATTCCAAGCACTTATCTATAGCCGGATGGAATTATCCTAATGTGGCAACTCTAAACGCTGACGGAACGTTTAATTTCCTCATCCCGTTGAGGGATGAGGAAATTAACCTTTTCAACGACTATCGCGTGGTGACGTGTAGCAAACAATGTATTAAATTGATAAGAGCCAGTAACGATTCCAATTGTTTCTTGGTTAAGGAGAAGGTAACTACCGATAAAACTACAGTGACTCCGGATATTCAAAACATCGAGGTTAAAATTAAACGACTATACCCTAACGATGAAATAAAACTTAGCCTACTAAAAGCCATAAAAGCCGATACGCCCATATTGATACCGTATAGACAATGGGATTTGCATATGCTACCTGCACTTACGGCTGGAGCTACAAAAGAAATTTGGGCTGTTAAGACTACTTCTGCGATTGAAAGTCCCAGATACATCATTGTAGGTTTCCAGACGGCTAAACAGAACAAATTTACTGCCGATCCGACGCACTTTGATAACATTGACATTACCAACATTAGATTAACACTAAACAGTGAGAGCTTCCCCAACGAGAGGATGCGATTAAATTTTACAAAGAATGACTACGCCGAAGCTCATTACAACTACACCGAGTTTTATCCAAGTTACTCGAATACACTACAGAAGAAATCTTTACTAGATTACGACACCTTTAAGAATCACGCCTTTTTCGTCATCGATTGCTCGAGGCGGGATGAAAGCATGAAATCGTCTACCGTGGACGTAAGGTTAGACATTGAAGCAGCACAAGGCTTTCCCGATAATACCAGCGCCTATTGTATAATCGTACACGATTGTATTATGGAACACTACCCACTTAGCGAAATAGTCAAGAATCTAGCTTAAAAAATAAAATCTAAGTAATTGTTAATTAGTTGCTCGATAGTCGTCCGAGATGAAGGTTGTGGCTGTGGACATCAAGGGTTTTATGTTACTGAGTGTCGGTGGAGGTTATGAATTTTATCCCAAGGAAATAACGATTCAGGATGCATGTCAAGTGAGTCATTATTTAATGAAGCCGCCTATGCGTTTTCATGAATTATCCAGCGTGAATAAGAAGCACGTTAAATATGCAGAACGATATATCCACGGCATCCGCTATTCGTCTGGAAACATAGAATATAGTGAAAGTGCGCTGAACGCTATACTACTGGGTAATTATCTGCTAAGTGCTGATATAATTTACGTGAGGGGCCGCCAAAAACTGGACTATTTAAAGAAAATACTATCGCAATTGGTTCCCTCAAGCCACCAGCACCTACCCAATGTGGTAAACGTTGAAAAATTTGATAATTGGTGGGATAACCCCCCACCACTTTTTCAAGTAGATGTGCCCCGTTGTTCATATCATATGAATCTAAATAAAACAGTCAGATGCAGCAAGAGGAACTGTGAAGATCTTTTCCGTTGGGTATACAACTTAATGCCCCAATGAATAAGAAAAGAGTTACTTTCGACGAATCTAAAAATCAAGTGCATATAATGAAAACGTGGACTTTTGCATCTACTGCAGCTCGACGTAAATACTGGGAATTTTTCGCTATGGACAGATTTAGATTTAAGAGAAGAATTGAAACGACTTCCAAAATGCTCGAACCACTATTAGTTAAACATCTTGAAAAAATTCGTCCATTAAAATCCGAAATAACACACTACGATAACCAGTGTAAAATTACTAAACAGTTTCAAAAGATGAACATTCAAGACAAGTGGGATGATGTATTTACGAATCCACATCGATTTTCTAGAACAAATGATGGACCTGCATCTACAAGAATTATTGTACCAATTACTTTATAATGTTACATTTTATTTTTTAATATGCTTAATATATGCTTACTTATCCTTGTTTCTTCTATTTCCTCTCTCTCTATCTTTCGGGTATAACAAAAAAGAGTAGTTATAAGAGTTTACAAATCATTATGTAACTCATTCGTTTATAGCCACTCTGTTGCTTAACAACGATGGCTGTTTTACGTTCCAATTTCATAATTTTAACTGCAGTACTACAAAATGTGTTGTACATACATGAGGGATACCTGTCCACATACGTTAACTCAGATGAGACATACTATAGTCAATGGTGGGAAGATGAGAGTTTTTACACCGAAAATTCCGGAACACTCTAAATTCTACAAGTTGAGAATAACGTTTCAAGACAAGTCGATTGGAGATTTCGATACCTGGAGGCCGTTACCTATTTTAAACTGCTCCGACTCTGAAGATATATATGCAAATGCACTCATCGGGTTGTCTGAGAATAAGAAAACAGAGATGAATACAATTTCTGGGCTTCTTTACTTTATAACAGTTGCTACGATTGCGTTAATACTGAAGAGTATTTCAAAAATCTTCAAAAGTATTATGGATTAAGATCAGTATAAATTGTTGTTATCAAGAAACAGAGCGACTAAAAACACAACTTATGTTCTGTAAATTTAATTATTAAATGTTTGATTTTTTCTCAGTATATCACAGTCAAGTGTAGTGATAAGGAGCGCAATGTCTAGTAGGAAGCCAATTGAAGTAATGTCAAATTCCGTTCCTGAGGACGAATGCTGGGGACCGCCTGAAAAGGTTTGCCGAATATGTCGAAAGCGAAAACGAAACGCAATTTTTCTACCCTGCACACACTTGGAAGTCTGCTGGATTTGTGGAATGCATATAAAATTTTGTACTTTATGTTATAAAGATCTATCAGCAACAGTTCGAATATGATATTAAATAACTATCCCATATACATCATGTATTACACCTACCTTATGTCAATAAATAGGTATAAAAAAGATATTATCTCGTTTCTTTTCCATATACCTATGGAGTCAGGTTGGCCGAGTGGTTAAGGCGCCTTGTTTAAGCCTTGGTTCCGTAAAGGAGCGTGGGTTCGAATCCCACACCTGACATTTTTGTAAATTGTATTTGAGGCAATTTTACTGAAATAAAAACCAAAAATATAATTGTCTCCTGTGAGATTTGAACTCACGACCTTCGGTTTACAAGACCATTGCTCTACCACTGAGCTAAAGAGGCTCATGCTAGGTTTACTAGCAAGTCTGCAATATTTAACTACAAAATTTAATATAAAATTTATCTTAATAAATTATTATTATTAAACATAAAATGCTGACGCACGCCTATGATTTGTACCCTTCCTAACAGACGCTAATGCTTTCATTTTCAATTTAATGCTACACGCTGTGCTTCTCTTATCAAAACCCCGTTCTTAGTTATCAGCTTCCTGTTTCAGCACACTTAAAAAAAACCTTGACAACTTCCTACATTCCACTAAGCTGATAACGACTTGCGCTCGTCGCCTTATTATCATTATTTATTTATCTGCACTCCACCGCGCGGCGGCGTTACCTCTCCTCACCCTCAAACGTTCCAGAGGCTTTCTGCACACACACGTGACCTTCAAACTCACCAGAGGCTCCACCACTTCTTGCACGCACCTCTTCGACATCCCCCACACCATCTTTCTTTGGCCTCTTCGGATGGACGCGCCATCCAACACACCGGAAGCCCACTTCCTGAGCCAGAACCCGCCTTGTTTACCTACTTACATAAATAAACGAACTAAACTAAAACACGAATTTCATTTAGTAAGTGGTGATTTTCCAATTTTAACAGATGGTATAATAGGTAAAGATTTTTGTCAAAATTTAACTGCAAAATCGATGACAATACCTGGACTTTAAGTATTTTTTAATCACGTAGAACATATCATTCCTTTAAACATTAAATTACCCTGTATAAACAAAATTGAGATACCACCGCGTACAGAAATTGTATGTCCTATAGATAAATATTTTACTGAAGACACTTTAATTTTAAATCAAGAATTAGAAAACGGAATTTTTATTGCTAACACAATAGTTTCAAAATTTGGTGTACCTCATATAAGATTAATTAATACGACTTGTAATGATGTAGTAATTGAAGATCTAAAGTTACAAACACAACCACTATCAGATTACGAAATTTGTACAACAACGATAAACGAGTACAATTCGCAGCTTAGTCATAGAATAACACGGTTATTCGAGGAACTGAATTTAATAATGTAGACATGAATGCGTTGGAAACGGTAAAAACTATTTGTAAAGAATACAATGACATTTTTTACTTAAAAGGTGATAATCTTTCAGCCAACAATTTTTACAAACAGAAAATTAGAATATTAGATAATGATCCCGTATACATAAAAAAATTATAGATTACCGCAATCACAAAAGGACGAAATCGAAAGGCAAGTAGACAAATTACTCAAAACTGATATAATCGAACACTCTATTAGTCCATATAACTCACCATTATTAGTAGTAAAAAAGAAGTCTAACACAGGAAAACTAGATTGGCGATTAGTAGTAGATTTTAGACAATTAAATAAAAAAATAATTCAAGATAAATGTCCACTGCCTAATATCGAAGATATATTAGATCAGTTAGGAAGAGCTAAATAATTTTCTACAATAGGCTTAGCTAGTTCTTTCCATCAAATAGAATTAGATAAAGAAAGTCGCGCTCTTACAGCATTTTCTACAAATTCAGGACATTACCAATATAAAAGATTACCGTTCGGACTTAATATTTCAACCAATAGTTTTTCTCGTATGATTACAATACCAATGTCCGGTCTCAAAACCAGTGCATTTCTGTATGTAGATGATATTATTGTTTTTGTATGTAGCCTTAAACATCATAATACAAATCTTATTAATGTTTTCGAAAGATGTCGAAAATATAATTTAAAATTAAATCCAGCCAAGTGTAATTTTTTACGAGAAGTAAATTATTTAGGTCATTTAATTTTTCTAACAAAGGGATTAGTCCAGATCCAAAAAAATACGAAATCGTAAAAACTATCCAATTCCAAAAAACGCGGATGATATTAGACGATTTATTGCATTTGTAAATTATTATCGTAGATTTATACCAAATTTTGCTGATATAGCATACTCTCTGAACAAATTATTAAGAAAAAATGAGACATTTAATTGGACGTCAGAATGCGACAAAGCATTTAATATTTTAAAGAAAAAATGAATTGCCATATTGCAATATCCTGATTTTTCAAAACCCTTCATTCTTACTACGGATGCTTCAAATTTTGCGTTGGGATGTGTTTTGTCTCAAGGTGAAATAGGAAAAGATCGCCCAATAGCTTACGCAAGCAGAAATCTGACAAAACGTGAAATAAATAAACCTGTAATTCTAAAAGAGTTATTAGCAATTTATTAGGGAATAACACATTTCCGCCCATATCTATACAATGCTAACCAAAAATTTATAGTCGTTACCGATCATAGACCATTAGTTGGGACTTTTTACTCATAAATCTCCGTCCTCAAAATTAACTAGAATGCGTTTAAACTTACTAGACTATAATTTCGAGATACAATACAAACCCGGAAAAACAAACACTAATGCAGATGCTTTATCACGCATAAAGTTAGATTCAGATGTACTAAAATCAATGATTCCTACAGTAGCCGTTGCTACACGATCAATGACAAAGAAATCGAATGACACTATCACAAAAATCAACCGAACGTCTCGGACACCCAGTCTGGCCAACTGGGAATTTGGGAAGTTACGTCTCTAACTGAAATAAATAAAATAAAAACATTAATGTTCGAAATATGTGACAAGAAAAATAAAGATTATTCAGAGCGCTCACAGCCACACTCACAACCACACTCTCAATCACAATTGATAAAAAGAAAATTTATAAATAAGTGCTATAAAGTTATGAGAATTACATTATCAAGTGATAATCTTGCGCAAAATCTAGATTTTGCACTGGAGAAGCTTATTATTATTTATGTTTATCAATGAAAAATAAT